ACCTTCAAGATGACATAATTAAAATGAAGATCCTAAAAAATGACAAGTTTTTCCTTAAATAAATGGTAAGATACAACGCATTTGATATTATGATCTTGGAAGAGATTTTTGATGTTTGGTGATTTTATTCGATGTAGGAATAATTTCTAATGGTTTTATAAATATTTTATTTGAAGGAAGTTATGAAGGCCTTAACAATGACCAAATAACAAGATGGTCTTCTTGCCCTAGATTAGAACATTATCAATGGTTGAGAAGATCTATCAACTACTTTTGAAATGAATAAAGATTAAAATATGTAATAAATATAATTTGCCATACTTTAGATTTCTTCAACATATGATGATTATTCCTTGTAGAACTCATTATTAGAAAAGAAGGGGGAAGAGGATAATATCATGGACATATCTATTTATTTAAATAAGAAGTATTAGATAGAAGGTAAATATAGATAGATTTGATATTATCTTATGGCAAAGCTTTTTAGAAGCTTCATAGATACATATTTGATTTTATACATATTCATAGTTGATTAGTAGGTTAGCAACTTGGCCAATAAGTTAGCCATGTGTCATACGTGTAGATAGCTTGTGATACAAGCTAATAATGTGGCATGCATATAAAAAACTTGCTTTATAAGTTAAAACATGTGTCTTATAAATTGAACACATGTTATAGGTTTTATAAAGCATTGTCAAGTAGCTCTTAGTTGATAATATATGTGGAGGTAAGAGTGAAGTTTTCTTCATTCTTGTCAATGCCTTTCTAATCCTTAGTCTTATTTCAAGACTTTTTAATCTTCTTGTCTTTGGCAATAGTCATTCTAATTTAATATTATACTATCTTTAAATGATATTAGTCTTTTTAAGTCACGCAAGAGTGTATTGATCTTTTAATTCTTTGAGATTTGTGTCCTTGACATATATTTATAATTCTAAAGATATTCAATATCTTTTTAATTTAAAAAATCATTTGAAAGATATGTGCAATTCAAGATACTTTTATAAAAGCATAAACACCTAATTGACTTGTAAGTATGATAGAACAATAGTTAATTCATTTTATCATCAATTACATCATTCTATTGTTATTTTTTTAGAAGTATATGGTGATTTATGAAAGGTGAGAGATTAAAATTAGTAATACTATTAAATTCTTTATTTTTTTTAGAAGCAATCTTTAATAGAAGATGCTTAACATTATGACATGATCTTATTACCTTTAAAAGTGTGGCAACATTACCATTTAACACACGTAATAAGATAAGTGGTATCAAGTAGTATTTTTTTATAGTCATCTATGGTGTGACTGCAATATAACATTTCTAAGGAAATACAAATGTGTAGGATATTATTATTATTATTATTATTATAGAAAAAAATAAAAAATGCAATACTATGTGTAAGTGTTATTAAACTGTACTCTTATCAGCTAATATGGGAAAAAATATAAAAATATATATATAAATGAACATGTGTCAAACCACAATGCCATCCAATTCCTATGTTCACCATTTATGTAGAAATATGATATGTGGTTGAGATGAAGGTACTGAATAAGGTCATTTTATAAAATTTCCTATTCAGTAGACATAAATTCCAATAAATCCTTGAAGTGCCCATTTTGGAGTTGTGCGAAGGGGAAATACAGGAACAATTTCCCGAATGGAAAGTTTAGCTTTTCCATTGGCCAAATTAAAGTGTCCCACCCTGCTGGCTTTTAACTTTTTTACTTTGCCAATGATTTTGCCAATGATTTCAGGGATTTATCTCTCCCTCACCAACCCCAAGTGACATGGCATGCCACGCCAGCTTATGCCCCTCTCCCCTATACTACAACAACAAACAGCCCTATCAATTATTATTATTATTATTACTGTCATTACAATACTCATAACAACATGCACATAGATAGATATTTCCTTCCATCTACAATCCTTTTCATGGTGATGCTCTAATATTAATCTTCTAGAACTACGAGCACCTTGCTTCTCACTAAAGGAAAAGAAATCTAGTAAAAGAGAAAGAAAAGTATAAAAGGAAAGAAAAGAGAGGCCTTCTGCTGAAGCTGGGCATACCACACACATGCAAATGGGGGTGGTGGTTCCCCTGTTCATGACGTCCCACTGACACAGCTTAAAAAGCGTGGGGGATGAATGCTGCCCTTATGGATGAATGGTTATATGGGTGAAGGGTTACATGGATGAATGGTGTTTACTCTATTTTAGTCTTTCTTGACAAACAATTATGGTTGGTTGAGATGCAATTGCTTGTGCTAAAGTGTAAAACATTTTTTAGCAGTAAAATTATACATACACACACACACACACACACACATATATATATATATATATATATATTTATGTATTGCATATCATTATTTTTTAAAAAATTGAATATTATTGCTAGACATGGTTTTTTATTTATTTATACTTGTCCAATGTCTTCACATTGCTCCACCAAATTGATGACAAGTTTGTTTAAATGATGGTATCATTCACAATAATCTTATGATGTTGTTGAGCCACTTGTGGTCACCATTTTATGCGGTGGTAGGAAGATGAGCACACCTTCTTAACACCATTCATTGCACTTCCATGTGAAGTTCAACTATTCCACTCGTATGAGTACATCATAAGCAAATAAAAATTAGGCAAGCACAATTGTTATGAGTTGTTGAAACACAAGAAATCATTGTTTGTATCTTATTAATCTAAATAATAATAATAATAATGATTATACATAACAAATGTCATTTTTGAAACCATCGTAAATTAATAAGTTTGTAATACAATTTATTTGTAGGTATCGTTACGTACTTTCATACTAGGGTTTTTTTTGTCTTACATTCATTAATTTTTTTTTTTTGAGATATTAGTTCTAGAAAATATAGATTAAGTTTTTTCAACAATTCAAAATTTGCAAATAAAATTTGGTTTAATATTTGTACATGCTTAAATAATTTTATAAACAAAGTAAATATGCTTAATGCTATATCTGAAAAAGTCTAAAGCCATGAAGAAATAGGAACACATGACATTATTTGATGATAGGAGATTAGAAGTATTTTTCTAAGACTTCCAATTAAATTGTCGATGTTTCTCACATAATAAAGTAGTGAGTTATAAATTTTATTATATATATATATATAGTATGCCCATTCATTCAAATTTTATTTTAACATTTTACAATTACAGTGAATTTATAATGACTACATTTATTATTTAATATCACAGGCAATGATTATTTATTTATTATCTATGCATCCTTCTATTTTTATTTTTTCATTTTAGATGCAGTACAATAAATCCCAATGATGTGGTTTTGACAATGATCTATACAAAAAAATAAAAATAATAACTAACTAACTAACTAACTAACAACTTTAAGGTACATTTCATCTTGTCTAGAATTACGTGCATCATATTATACACAGAAAAGAATAAGAGGATCATAAATAACTTAAATTAAGTTAATTATATTAATGTATGATACACATGTAAATTGGACCACAAATGTATCAAAATTCATTTTTCATACTTCAATTATTAATTCTCCTACACATAATAACTTTTCACTCCCATCAAATATCATAAACATATACATACATACACACAGACACAAGTGAAATTTAGTGCAAGAGAGAGAGCAAAACTCAGTGGTCTAGAAATCATTTTAGAGGATATATAATGAAAATAGACTTGGAACCAGGGAAATAAATAGCTGACTTCATGAGCCCCTTTGTTTCATCCCTTTTTCAAAACCTAGTCCTTCCATAAGCAAATAAGTAAATAAATATAAGTAAATAGGTTCATATATATATATATATATATATATATTTTTTGTTTGCTAAAGTCAAGGGAGAGTACAAACCAAATAAGAGACTAGTTCATATGAGAGATGCAAAGGTGTGACACAAAATATAGTTTTGATATAATTGATCAATAAAAAGATTATATTGTTAATACAATACAATGCTACTTGGGATTGATCAATAAAGGATCTTTTGTGATGTCGCGAGCTTCTTGTACCACACCATTGAGCTCTTATAAGTCAATGTTTGCATCTAAAAAAAACACATCCTGATTTGCTTATTTAAAGCACTATCCTTCTATTGCCTCTGAGGATAATAAAAAGGCATTGGATAGACTCAATTTTTGCATATAAAATTTCATGGGACATTTTTTGTATGTTAGTCTTATCTAAGAATAGTTTTTAAAAGTTTGTATAAAAGAAGGATTCAAATAATATAAGATGCTTCTATAGTTTTAGAATAAATAATATCCTTCAAAATAAATAATTTTATTATGCCTCCTAATACAAAATAAAGTACTTTGAAAGTATATGTGTATTATTAAATATACATCTTATATATACTTTGATATACACATATACATACATGTTTTATAATGTATACATAAGATTTATTATTATTATATATACATGCATGTATTATAGAATGTATAAAACAACAAAGACTTTTGGTTGTTTGTTTATGCTCTGTTTTTATTTGGATTAAAAAATATATACATATTTTGTGAGAGTATATATTTAATTTTTTGTGATTATAGTAAAATAAATTATAAACTTTTTCTTCAATATTAAGCTTGAAGACCCACTTTTCAACTAAGTCTTAAGACCAGAAAAATTCGGTGTATTTCTTTATTGTTTTGTTTTGTTATTTTTTTTTTTTTGTTTTTTTTTTGGAGAGATATAAGAATGAATGTCGATTTCATCTATTGCAATTTATTGTGCAAATAAATGTATTTCTTAAACCTTGATATAAATATATAAATATAAATAATTATGAGTCTTAATTAAAGTTATTTTTTACTTTCAAAACATGTTTATTAATGGTTTTTTTAGAATAAAATGGTTGTAGAGATCGAATTAGATTTTTTTTTTTCCTGTATTTATAATAGTTAAATAAATATGTATAATTTTCACGAAATGGGCAGATGGTAACATAACACAACATCTAGAAAAAAACAGAAACAGTAATTCTCAGTAATTAAAATCTTAGTATTTCTCTACTCCCTAGGCCAACCTGTGAGGGAATTACCCGAATCCCACAACTGCTGAGCATCCAGGGCTTCCAAAAAAGACAAGTTTAGAACAAGCTAGAAATTTGTGGTGGAAGGCTGTGTCTAAAGTACAAATACTGGTCAACTTCCATCGCAGTCTATAAAATATCTATGTCAGAGTCTATCATCAATTACTGAAGTCCTTTGCACGCTTCCAGTAGTTTAGCGGTTGGGCGGAGGTACCTGGAAGATTTGACCATTTGATTCCAGGTAATCCTACCTTCTATTCAACAGAACAGTATCCAGGACAAGTCCAATCTGAGCAGAAATGAAGCCCATGGAAATTGAACCGACTTCGGCATCAACTAATCTGTAGGCATGACGAAATTTTTAGCATCTTTTAACGTGAATGGGAAGCAGGTGTGGGGGAAATTACTAACTCACAGGAATATTTTAGATTTCCATTGAACAAGTCTCATAGATTCAGTGTAGAGTATGTGCTTGAAGCAGAGTGCAAGTAATGAATGGGCTATGCTTTGAAACATGGTAACACCAAGCAGTCAAAGACGACACAAGCTTACTGATGGAAAGCATAAGCGAATAGGTTCTGGTGCAAGGGGTCCTCAAGAAAATCGAAAAGGTTATCTATGGGTCCTTTCTGTGTAACGAGAGCTTGCACATAGAATCCTAACCACGCCACCATTGCAAGACGGCCGTTCTTCATCTCCTTCACTTTCAAGTCCTCGAAGGCCGCGGCGTCTTTGGTTAGGCCCAGAGGATCGAACAAAGCCCCGCCTGGGTAGTTCACGTCGCCTGGTAGGAAGATTCCCAGCGGTTCTAATGCCTCAATGCCACAGTATCTTGCATACTCTGGTCCAAGCTGCAAGTAGATACACAACAGAGTGCTAAATCAAAACATTAATACTTGTCCACTTTCATGCTGTGTTTGTTTCTGGCATTAACACACACAACGAGCTAACACAGGCATAGGAAAGTACACAAAATCATTTGCCCCATTGTTGATGCGACAGAAAAAATAAAAAAATAAAAAAATTCAGATGCGTTGGATGTTGCTGAAATAATACCATGAGAATGACTTGACAGAATGCAATAACAAGAATTCCTTGAGCACCAGCAATGTGCAGGCCAGGAATACCCAGGTAATCAAGTGTGTCACCCTGCAACTCAGCGTCCGGGTGTTTTAGTATGCGCTAGCTATCACTGAGATTTGTACAGACTTGATTACTAGCTCTCAACTTATTAGAAGATTCAATGCAAAGCAAAAGACCTGTCATCTTTCAGTTCATGTGCAACAAGAAGAAAGCAAGAACTGCAGAGTAAGAAAGAGCGCCAGTTGAAATTATTACCTGAAGTTTAGCATATCCCACTTTCCACCAAACAGGCTCCGAAAATTGGACTCCACCAAAGCGGTCCAGAAGCTCCGGGATTACTACACCCAAAGCAGCAAGCATTGCCCAGCGAGCATGCAAGATCTCAAAGCTGATCACGATGAAACAATAATGAAGGTAATTCCATTAGTTTTGTTACGAGTAAGCTTGCGATGGAAAAGGAATCTCACACAAACAACCGGAAAACAGTACATCACATATTTGAACACACTAGTGCATCCTTTGTGGGCATACGATTTAAGCAACATGAATAGATTCTTTCAGAATTGCTAGCACATCCCAAATAAAGCTGAAGGAACACAACACGAGATGATTGATATGGAAATACATAACATACTTGAAATATCTTTCGAAAGCTGTAGGATCACGAGACAGTCCTAAGATATCAAACCCGTAGTCACCTGGAGCCTCTCCCTGAAGATGATCTGGATAATCATATGGTATTGGACCTAACCACTTTGGGCGACCTTCCCTGTACCACATACTGCACTGACACTCAAATATCAGTCATTGCTGACAAAACAACCCAACAAAATTTTAAAAAACATGCCATATCGTGCCGCGCAATAGTGTATAGATGCAAGCAGGCAGATCATTGACTTCTACGGGTATAAATAAATGTTATCGACGTGAGAGTAGACATCTTTACCTCTCATCTCTTACATTACTTTGAGCTTCACGAGCCTCGCCTGCAGCTTCCTGAGCAGCCTTCTTCGTCTTCAGCATACGTTGCTGGAGTTGCTCCCCAATGGAACTGTTGGCGATGGCTTTAACTAAGGTGAATGGGAGCGCAGAGAAGACTACTACTCCTGCTAGCTAACCACATTATCCAAACAAACACCCTGAGCAACGTCATCGACACACGCACCACCTATATTGTACGTTGTGAAAAGAACGAGACAGACAAATTTGAGATGGGTTATTCTCGGGCTCTTATGCTTAAAAACTAGTGCAGTCCCCCCCCCCCCCCCCCCGCCTTGCAACATAATCAATTTTGCGTTCATGCAAATGCTTGAGTGATTCTATTAAATTTCCGCCAACCAACGTACCTCCTGCCAAGCTGCTCTGCATCGAGGAAGCTGTCCATTTCGACGAGTTATAGATCCACAGTTCTGCTTTACTTCCGCACCTTTAAATGGATTCTACAAGATACACAAGCAAACACATGCTGAGATAGCAACCACCGCAACATTACATTTCTCGCAATCAGGAGTCTGTGTTTCCATTCTCCTGAACAGTTTGAATTCCTTGGTACAGTCACCGACAGCACGAATGCGCTAGCATAGAGGTTACAGTTGATTTGATGCTACACTTCAAAATTGCACCCCAAATTGCAATTGTTCATTTTCTTATCTACTTTGTTTGGTGCATATAACACACTACAATAAATTGCTATACATTAACCACCAAATACTTTTTAGATAATCAAACACATACTCTAGCGCCCCAGATAAACCCTAATCAAAGACGACGAAAATCAGAGTGCAACGTTAACCCAATCGTGGAAACTTCGACGGACAAATCGAGCTTTCTAAATCGATAATTGAGTACTTAGCTTCTCTTTCTCAACCATTAATTTATTCAGTGTAGTGTAATTAAAATTGATGCACCAATTCACAGAGATATTCCAGCTGCTAGAGCTTCACTTTCGCAAGCGTACGCGTTCCGAATTTCCAAGTATCCTAGTCACTCCGCAAAACCAGAAATCTCTAACAAAACATTCCTGATAAAGAGCTGATGAACTGTACCCCCAATTTTGACTTCCATTGCCTTGTACTGTGAGCAAAGCTAGATGGATATGAGTTCTGCGCGCTGCAACCGGAATAGGACAACATCGAACCCGAGACGGAGGCCGCCATGCTTCAAAAAAAAAACAAAAACCTAATAGGATGATTTCGCCACAGAAGCTCTTGTATCACACTGCCGAAAAGACCGCGCACTGCTCCTACACCTGAAACCATCTCATCGTACACAGCAGACTGAGGAATTTAAGGACCACAGAAACGCCAGATGAAATTGGGCCTCAGTGAAATCGACACGATAATGACCACATAGTCATAGAATGCGACAAATTAAATGAAAAAAAAAAAAAAAAAAAAAAAAAAAAAAAAAAACGTTAGCTCACAGAAAGCTGGTGCACCATTTCAGTGCCGAGGTAACCTTATTCCTAAATGTGAAGCAAAACCTGCTGGCTCTTCTACAAGACAAAAACCTGACTTATGGGTTTGAGACTGAGTTTGAGCACAGCCATGCCCGAGCAGAAAACTATCCGTGGCAACAAAGCAGACACCCACCACTTTTTGCAGCCAGTTGGCGATGCTGCAAGTCGAAAGCAGTGAGTGGCTTGCAGAGCCACCACAGATTTCATAACTCCTGGCATTGGAAATGGAGTGTGTGTGTTTTCTCACGCTGTGACGCAGACGCGCGGCTGCTGCTTCCCAGGAAGATTTGGACCACGATGACGCAACGCATCACCCTCCCTCCCTTTCTCCATATTTGGGTCTCAGAAATTGAAGGCTGCTGCTCTGTAGTGGGAGCATTTCCCGTGGGTTTGTGGGTTTCTCAGAAAACAACGAAAGACCTCATCTTGATTGATTGGGCAGATTGTCACACTGAAAAAGGATAAAAGGATAATGGAAGATTGGAGATTATCGACGATCTACGGCGAAGCAACTCTGGAAATTAATTGTGCGGAAACCCATGTGGCGGTTTGTAGCTTTTGTTCGAATACTTGCAGTCTCAGCAATCCCAATTGTACACATGCGATTGCTGGGAGGTAAAGAGTTGGGATCTTCGAACAATACAAGTGAAACTTTTCTGTAAGTTTTTTTATTGGTGGATGTTGCCTAAGAAAAAGATTTGATTAAAAAAAAAAAAAAAAGAAAAAAAAGAAAAAAAAAAGCCAATTGGAAAGTGGCGATTCTAAATTTATTGAAGAATGCATATTAGTATGATAGAGAAAGAAATTACTTCAGGGCAAAAAAGATGTGTTAAAAAGGCATGGATTCCATCTTCTTGATTTTATTGATTTTCAAATACAAATGATTTATAATAAAAGTTGTTGTTGAATAGAGTTATGTGCCATTGCACGATATATTGGCAATTGTGGGTTTTTTTTGTTATCACTTTTTTTTTTATTATTATTATTGCAAAGTCATTAATTGGTAAGAATTGCCACAATTGTGCTTCTTTTGTGATTAAGCAATAATGAAAGTATATATGTGCTTTGTTATTAATTGTACCTCCTCATTAACCATATGATTGTTAGGGACATAATCCTTAGAACCTTCTAGAGACAAGTTTCTAGAACCTTCTAGAAGCAAGTCTCTGGAACCTTTTAGAAGCTTCTTAGTTGGTAGAAGATATTAGAGACATAGTCCTTAGAACTTTCTAGAGATAAGTTTCTAGAACCTTCTAGAAGCAAGTCTCTAGAACCTTCTAGAAGCTTCCTAGTTGATAGAAGTTGCTTGAGAAGCTTCCTAAATAGAAGTATATATTGGAATCGAGGCTGAAGAGTTCTTCAGTCTCGACAACACATCTCTTGGAGCTCTAGCTCACCTCTCTGGTGTTGTTCTTATCTGATTAATCTAGTTCTTGCCAGTTCTTCCTGAACTTCTTGTTAGATCTCGAGTTTGTATTTCTGTGTCCGTGACAGTTTGTCGAGACTATACTCACCTCAGATATCAGAGCTAGTTTCTTCTTTGTTACAGTGTAGATTATTCCTCTGCTTGGAAGTGTACTAGCATTTTAGAGGTTGCGGATTACCCTCCTCTAAACTGATACTTCTTTTGTTACAATATTGGAGTCTTATTCTTCTTGGAGAGAGTGGATTACCCCTTTTCTTGAAGCTCTTAAGGCATTTTAGAGGTTGCGGAGTACCCTCCTCTAAACCAATATTGTCTTCTTATAGAGTCATTTCTGTCCTTCTCTTAGAATGGCCGGGGGCCAAGACATTAGTATGACGAAAAGTTCGGAGTCCAAGTTGGATGCTATTATGAATGCCCTCGCTACATTATCGCAAAGAACTGCAGAGATTGAAGGAGTCGTGGCAAGGCTTCATAGTAATGGAGCATCTGGGATGGCACAATCTAGGTTGCACCAGCCTCAAACTTCTATACTTGGAGAAGCAACTTTGCCTCAGGTTCGAGAAGCACCGCTGGTTCTACAACATAACGAACCCCGAGTTAGCCTTACGGACAAGTTCGATGGTACGCGTTCCAAGTTTCGAGGATTCGTCAACCAAATGAGGTTGATAACAATTTTACAGCCCGAACGCTATCCAACAAAGGAGTCACGTGTTGGGCTTGTTGGAACCTTACTTACAGGACAAGCTCTATCATGGTTTGCTCCTTTGTTTGAGAAACGATCGTCCATACTAAACAACTTTGAAACCTTTTTGGAGGTGTTTGGGGAAGCATTTGGTGAACACGACAAGGTTCGATGGGCTACAACAAAGATCCGATGACTACGACAAGGGATGCGTTCTACATCAGTCTATGCATCGGACTTCAGGCAATTAGCATGCGACATCAATTGGGACGAAGAAGCGTTGATGAGTCAATTCTATTGGGGTTTAAGGGACGATGTGAAGGATTTGCTGTTAACTCTTCCTGATCCGCAAATGCTCAACGAAGCTATTAGCCAAGCTGTGAAGTGTGATAACCGCCTATTCCAACGTCGCCAAGACCAACGTTCAAGACAACATACGATTCACCACACCCCAACTATGTCGGCAAGCAGCGTGAATTCACATTTAGAGGTAGAAGACATGTAAATTGATGCGGTACGTATCAAATCCCTTACTCTAGAAGAAAAAAAGCGGCGTATGGAGGAAGGTCTATGCTTGTATTGTGGTGAAGAAGGCCACAAAGTTGGAAACTGCCTCAAAAAGTAAAATCGACGTATTGTCAAGACTAGAGGTGCATTTATTCAGGAAAACGAGGATGTCCAACTACAATAGGAACCGTGCGGTTGGACAGTGAAATATCGCAACAACAACCATGTTCCTTTCTTTCCGCTCAACTTGTACTTTGTTTTACAATCCTTTTGCTTATTGGCCCTCAGAAACTGAGAACCTTAGCATTATTAGATTCAGCAGCATCTGCTTGTTTCTTAGATGAAGAATTTGTGAAGCATCATAAGATCCCTTTAGTACAAAAATCCAAACCTGTTCATGTTGAGGTCATAGATGGACGACCTTTATTGTCTGGTAGTGTCACCCATGAATCAGAACCTATAGAAGTGACGTTTAAGGGCCATAGTAGTCATATTATTTTCAATGTTATTAGAACCGCATCAAATCCTGTTATTCTTGGTCTTTCCTGGTTGGAAAAGCATAACCCATCCATAGATTGGAAGTTGCGGAAGATGACCTTTCCCACAAAACCACCTAAGAGCAAGCCTAGTAAAAAACCACTAATAGAAAAATCTTTATTTATTAGAGTAAGAGCGTTTATAAGATCGTCCAAAGAAGGCAAACCGTTTGTCATTTATGCGGCTCCAACTACCGAGGAGAAGATCTCGACAACAAGTATATTGGAGCAATATAAGGATTTTAAAGATGTGTTTCAAAAGAAAAATGCCGACATGCTACCGGAACACAGACCATATGATTGCGCCATAGACTTACAGGAAGGAGCACAACTGCCTTTTGGCCCAATCTACAATCTATCGCAGACAGAGTTGGTGGAGTTGCAGAAGTACATCGACGAGAATCTAGCCAAGAACTTCATCCGTCATTCAAAATCGTCAACTGGAGCACCCATCTTATTTGTGAAAAAGAAAGATAGGTCATTGCGGATGTGCGTGGACTATCGAGGCCTCAACAAGATAACAAAGAAGAATTGTTATCCATTACCCTTGATTTCTGGTCTCTTAGAACAACTTGGACATGCAAGGATTTTTACAAAAATTGATCTAAGGGGAGCTTACAACCTCGTACGAATCAAGGAAGAAGATGAATGGAAGACAACGTTCCGTACAAGGTATGGCCATTTTGAGTATAATATCATGCCCTTTGGTCTTATCAATGCCCCAACGGTCTTTCAACATATGATGAATGACATTTTCCGAGAGTACCTTGACGATTTTGTTGTCATCTATTTGGATGATATTCTGATATTCTCCAAAAATGAAGAAGAGCATGAAAAGCACGTTCGTTCGGTCTTGGAGAAACTATGCGAGCGAGGACTATGTGCCAAGTTGGAGAAGTGTTTATTTCACCAAATAGAGATGGAGTTTTTGGAGTTCGTTGCAACTACAGAAGGCTTGAAGATGGACCCCAAGAAGGTGGAAGCAATCGTGTCTTGGGAGGTTCCGAAGACAGTGAGAGACTTACAATGCTTTCTTGGCTTTGCCAACTTCTATCGGATCTTCATCAAGAATTATTTTCAAGTTGCTGCTCCTCTCACTCGATTGACATGCAAGGATAAGCTGGAATGGGGACCTCTAGCGGAGAAGGCGTTTCAAGACCTAAAAATCGCATTTACTATGGCTCCAATCTTGGTACATCCAAACTTTACAAAGGCCTTTTATTTAGAAACTGATGCTTCGGATTTTACTTTAAGAGCTGTACTTTCACAAATGGGAGAAGATAAGAAGCTCCATCCAGTTGCATTCTATTTTTGAAAGTTCTTTGCTGCTGAAATCAATTATGAGATCCACGATAAGGAACTTCTTGCTATAGTGGATTCTTTCCAAGAATGGCATCACTTTCTTAAAAGAGCTGCACATCCAGTGACCGTATATACAAATTACAAGAATTTGGAGTATTTCATGTCGGCTCGAGTTCTAAATCGACATCAAGCTCAGTGGAATATGTTGCTATCTAGGTTCGATTTTATTATCACTTATCGACCTGAAAAGTAGCAAGGACTATCTGATGCCTTATCGAGGAGATTGTATCTTATACCAAAGGCTGGAGAAGTAACGTTTGATCAACAATGTATGACGTTGTTGAAGCTAGAGCAATTTCGGCTTTGCGCTACTATTGTGTCAATTCATGCTGACTTCTTGAATCAGGTACATGGTGCGACCATTAAAGATTCAGTAGCCATTGATATCAAGCAGCGTGCCAATGACGAAAAATTCAAGGTGGAGGGAGATCTCTTATACTTTGAGGAGCGGTTGTATATCCCAAAAGGACCAGCACGACTCCGAGTTCTTCAATCTCGCCATGATTTTCCAACTGTGGGACATTTTGGATTCAACAAGACCTTGGAGCTTATTTCTCAAGATTTTTGGTGGCCCCAAATGTGGAAGGATGTGAAAGATTTTATCCTCTCCTGC